AAAATGCAAAATGATGACAATATATAGCATACGATGTGGTCTTATAGTTGTATAGCAGCCTTTTCTGTACTGAAACTGAATACAAACATGAATAAAATCACACAAAGTACTTCAACTTGCCAGTACTGTTTTAAAAGCACAGTCTACTGGACTTGTGTAATGTGTGAGAAATATTCTTTGGGTCCGCTGTTGATCATGTCTACTCCACATTCTTACAAGTCCACCCTCATGAGCAAGGAATTTTTCTAAGCGATAATGCAACATCACCATATTGTCCAAAACTGGTTCAAAGAGCATTACAATGATCATAGTTATGTTGTTTGACTTTAAATCACAGTTCTCAATCCGACTGTACATTTTTGAAATGATCTAGAACGTAGTATTCTGCCAGCTGTTTGATTGGTTTATTGTTAAGCACAAAGCTACCAAATGGACTATCTGAGTTGTGTCGCCACGCTTATCGAAACTCGATTTTTAGCTTTATAATTCAGGAGTCATGCTACTCAGCCACTAAGGGCCTTCTGCTAACATATGTAAATTAATTGCAGACCATAATACTCAATTTTTGGGCTAAGCCAACAAGACATGCTGAGTCCAGGCTATTACCATTACGGAAAAAGGTGGCTCAGCCTCATTTCAAACAAAGTTCCTAATAAAGATGGCACTTTATCTAAAACAAATGATTTCTGTTGATAATAAATAAAACAGTAATCTATTTGTGTGTGCAAAATTCAGTCAATTACCCATGTCTCAAACTGCGCATGACAGATATATCTTATTTAACAATTAATTAATGCATTTCTTTCAATTACAAAATTCAAAAACCCCTAATCACTATTAAATCTTTTTAACTATTTATTTTAATATTGTTTGATTAGTTTACTGTAAGGACTATTTATTCATAAAGATAACTTATGTTATAAACATCCCAATTGATTAGAATCAGTCATTCTTATGCGAAACATATTAAATTCATTTACTGTCATTACAAATACCATTTTAAAATAGCTTTCAAAGATAATGACCAAATATAGGTGAACTGTTAAATATCTAAAACTAGAAACTTTTCTATCACTATCAAAAACTGCTTGTATTAATAAACGCTAATTTACATTTAAAGTATAGAAGTGACTACTTTAATTAAAGCAACTAAGTTAGCTTAAAATTATTAAACGTTAAGCTACAACATGATCGTAATGAAATAAATATACTATCAAAATCACACAATATGACAACAAAGGGAAATAAAAAATCATTTCTATTGTGGTTTCATTTTTATTTTCGTCTTTTTTTTTCTACAATAACATTAAATTGTATTATCCTTTACAATTGAGTAATTGTGTATCAGAATTGTTCAATATTCTATGTTAATTACAATTATTTGTTGGATGGAGGTAATGGTTCTAAGTATTTGTGCACATTAGAAGAAACCACTCTTTTATGAAGCTCTTTTCTGCTGTTTTTAAATTTAATTTTTACATAAATAAGCATTAGCTATCATCTAGTACAAGCCATACATCACAAAGTACCTTAAAATGAGTATTTCAAATTGTTATCTATAATGCCATGAACCAATTAATGCAAAAAACAAGTAGATAGTATTTTGAAATTCACTATAACTTCGAAAAAAATAATAAATTTCACACTGACAACTCTTTGTTAAAAGAACGACTGATTTCACCCTTCATATTCAATAAAGAATATAATTTTATTTAGACATTCTTATACTTTTCCGTATTGGCTGAATCCTCAAGAGAAGCATGTAACCCTCTGATGCTAAAGTAAGTTGTAATGTAATGAAAGTCGTATCCAAGGAGTATACTTTAATTCATAAGGTGTCATGTTACATCCTCTTTTTGACAATGTGGAAGAATTACTGACAGGTTGCAAATCGTGACGCCATTTCTAAGTGCATTTTCACTCTTCATGGAAAGGTCCTCTCTGAGTCATTCAGTGTAAATACAATCAAATTAGAAAAATATTTCTTCATGACCATCGGACCACTTCAATTGAAAGTATAACACCATATTCAAAGCACTGTCGTTTGGTATGGTTCTTCAGCTTTTATTTTATTTCATATCAGTTCAAAATTGGAAGTGCTTTGAGTAGACAGTGACCACCAAAGTACAGAAGACAAACAAACTAACTACACACACACTCTGATATTTAGGAGAATTTCACCCATGCCAGGAACATAGATGTTAAACTTTATAAAGATTTTGCTCAAACATGAGACATTTGGACCAAAATTACTGAGAACTAGAACTGTGTACAAATAACATAAGATTGTGGTGTATAAAGATACTATGTTTTTACCATCTTATTTGGCTATAGCATTATTCTGAGTTTATTATTTTGCCACTCTAGAGAAATGGCCTAGTGTTCATCAGAGTGATGGGACCTCTGAGTATGACAACCACACTGTACTCCCTATTATTAGGGCATCTCATTTTGATGTCCTTCACAGCTATCGAAATGTAGCCTGTCTACTGTAACACGAGGAGGTTACCAAAGTAATTTTTGCTGGATCTGAAGGCATTCTGTTATAAGCTACTTGAGTATGTGTCAATATGTAATAGTGGAATATGTATATAGCAATATACATGTAGAAATAAATATGTGTGTGGACTTACATCAATGTATGAACACTATATGAAGTCATTCATCGATCAATTACACAAAAAACACAACTATGGAGTAACATATGAATGAAAACAAATGATTTGATCAGGATATTAAGACTTTATGATATGAGGGTAACTGTGATTGCTGACCTGTAAGGTATTATTTGAAGATACATCACATCTAGTATTTTCATTAATATTTATGAGAGATCAATTAAAACAGTAGGAAGATATCCTTTCATGGAAGGGTAAGTGTATCGCAAATACTAACACTAAATCTGAGAGAAAACACAGTTTTACTTGGTGTTTCTTTTTTTTTCAAGAGTAGTGCAAAATATTTCAGTTGGATAGAATTTAAACATTCACAAGTTGGTGAAATTATTATTAAGAAATGAAATTCATCAAAGCTTAGATATCATAGCAAATATAAACTTGGTGTTCTCACTTTTTTATTTGGTTATGATGCAATATTTTCAGTCAGGCAGACTGAAATGTTTAGTTAGCACAGATTTTCCTAAATATTTTCTTAACATTGTTTCAGTGCAAGGTGCAATATAAGATGCCTGAAAACACAGGTTGTAAGTGTACTAGCAGGAACAGAAAGCAACATATATGGGGTGAAACTTTGAAAAACTGCAAACAAATAGTATTAAACGCTTATCAGGAAGAAAGTCACAAGGGAGAGATAACGCAAACATTGGTGGATTCTTATTGTCAGAAGCAGAGGTTGGAGTTTGTGAACCCAAGATACTCATGTGTGTAGGAACCAGTTGTACAGTCTCACCCCATTAATCTCCTGATGCAAGTGGGTGCTGTTTATGTAGCAAACATACATTAATAAAGAGAATGGTCCTGAGTCTGGTGGTAACTGGTGAATGGGGTGTAACTACACGTGAAAATCGTGGAGATGCCACTTGATCAAAGATAATCCATAAATTACTCTCTCTAAAGGTAGTTTTAGAAAAAGTAACAGTTGCAATTGGAAATTTACGACCCTCTTTCCATCTACAAACCTAGCTGATCTTCTAACCAATTGAAATTCATCTGGCCCTACATTTTCAATACGGACTTTTGCCAGTTAAATTTGAAATCTTGACTTCTGGCGATCTTGTTCTTCAGCTAG